ACATATGTTGGACAAGGTAAATTAGCGATCACTTGAATTTTAGCAAGATCTACTTCCATATCATTTTCTAAAATTTGATGACCTAATACGATATCCTCTGACTAAATTTGTTTATTCACAGCACTTAAGAACTTTATATAAAGTTCTAATCATGAGTCAAATGATGTTCCAAACACTGAAAAACTATCCATGAGTACTTCAATCCTTTTTTCAATTAAGTCATAAAAAAATTATCATCATACATTTTCAAAATGTAGTATGGGCATTACATAAACCAAAGGGCATTACATAAACCAAAGGGCATCCCATAAACCAAAGGGCATCCTTCTAAAAGCAATAGTACCATAAAGACTGGTAAAATTTTTTTTCTCTTGATCATTAAAGATATTTATATTTGGTGATAACTAGTATATCCATCCAGAAAACAAAAGTATTTATGCCCAGCTAGTCTATCAAGCATTTGATCTAGAATGGGTAAAGGAAAATGATCTTTCCTAGTGGCAAGATTTAATTTTCTATAATCAATTCATTTTCATCAGCCTGTAACTTGTCTAGTAGGTATTAATTCATTATGTTCTTTCATAGTTACAGTTGCTCCTCCTTCTTTAGGAACATAGTAAATTGGAATTGGAATAACCCATGCACTATCTAAAATAGGGTTCCAACATCTAACCACTTTAAAATTTTTTTCTTAACAACTTCTTTCATAATAGGAATCAGTCTCCTTTGAGGATCAGCCCTAGGTTTGCAGTTCTCTTTCATATGAACTTTCATATGAATTCTATGTATTCTATGTATACAAATTGAAGGATTGAATCCTTTAATATCAGCAATTGTCCATCCAAAGGCTTTCTTAAAATTTTTCAAAATTTTCATTAACCTTTCTTCTCTCTACTTCATTTTTTTTTTCAAAATTTCTTTTCTCTCTATTTTATTTTTTTTTCAACCATACCTTCCAACTCTCTTCTGCTTCTAAGTTGAACGGATTTTACTTTCTCTTCATTCTAGTCTTTTAGATTTGATTCAATATTACTAGGAAGTGTACCTTGGGATCTTTTACTTAATGAATTTGTTATTTGACCAAGTTGATTCTCAATATTTCTGATTGTAGCTCCTTGACTTTGTAATTGATTTCCCATTTATAACACCACTTCTTCTATAGACAACTTCTTCCCCTTAAATTGGGTATTACTGTTGAAACTTAGAGGATAAGTAGATTTATAATTTTAATTCCCTTGATTGTTCCAGTTTCTCTTTAGGTTTACTTAGTTGTTCCCCTATTGCGGATTATTACCGCCCAAAATTGTTATTCAAGCTAAAGTTGGGATGTTCATTTCCAACCTGGGTTATAATAATTTGAATAATGGTTATTTTGCTTGTTATTTATGGCATTCAAAGTTTCTAATGATGTGTGAGAATCTACCAATTGGCCTAATGCATTCTCTTCAATCATGAAAATTGGATTCTCTTCAATCATAGAAATTGGTTGAGGAAAATTCATTCCAAATTGGTTGAACTTCCTTGAAATTGCAACAACTTGATTTGCTAACAAACTAAATGCATTAGATACAAGAATATTAGCTACTTTCTTAGGATTCGCCCTCTTAAAAAGCCATTGAAAATTATTGGTAGTCGTTTCTTCAATTAAAGCATAGGCATCATAAAATTTTTTTGGCATCAATGAACGACTAGCAGCGACATAGATAATTGATCTAAGAGGTCCAATAATCCATTATAAAAAAGTTTGAATTATTAACCAATCTGGTATAACATGGTGTGGAAACTTTCTTAAGATTTCTTTAAATCTTTCCCATGCTTCCTAAATAGATTCCCCTTCAAAATGATTAAAAGATGTAATATCATTTCTAAGCTTCGCAGTTATTTAGGGTGGAAAATATTTAGTAAGGAATTTTTGTGCTAAATCACCCCAAGTTCTGATAGATCAAGATGATAACAAATTCAACCATTTCTTAGCTTCATCCCTCGGTGAGAAACAAAATAACCTAAGTTTTATGACATCATCTTATACACCATTGTATTTAAATGTAGCGCACAATTCTAGAAAATTGGCAAGATGAAAATTTGGATCTTTAGTTGGTGATCACCCAACTGATTATTTGATATTATTTGGAAAATAGCAGGTTTAAGCTTAAATAAATTAGTCACTATAGTAGGTTTTTGATACTTCAATGAAGTTCATCTATAGTAGGGCTGGCATAATCTCTTAAAGGTCTAAACTCTTGATGAATTTCAACATTTTGATCATTTTGGTTTGCCAATTATGTAATTTTTTTGGTTTTTCAATATTTTATTTTTTTTTTGGTTTTTTTGATTTTTTTAACAGTTCTCTCTAATTCAGAATCTTAGGGCACTAGTCATTCAGAACCTGAACTATGCATACACTAACAAAATAAAATACAATAAATTAAAGTTTAAATAAGACTTTCTAAAAGTAGAAATTTTCTTTTCAATCAATAGATTCTTTACAATTTTCACTTCACTTCCGAGGCAATGTAACCAAAAACTTGATCCCGAAACTGCTTATATGCAACATATAACAATAATTCTGATTATATTTTTCACTTATAATTCCTTATTTCACAACAAAACAAAAAACTTGATCTTGAAGAAAAATAAGAATTTAACATTTAATTTATATATATTGAGACACCACACAAGTACAATTATCGTTATCAAGTAATATAAAACTTTTTTATTAAGACCAGAATATCGAACCCACAGGGAAGATATGCAATATGCACTTTTTGGAAAACTTTCTATTTTAAAAAGACAATTATTTAAACTAAAGACATTTTAGTTGTAAAGAAACTTTAAATAATTTTATTAATTTTAGTATTTTGACAAAAACAGAACAAACTTAAAAAGATAACTTGAGTTTTTGTTGAAGAAAAGCACTAAATATTAAAATATCTTTCCCCTTATCATGAAGCAGTAATATATATAGGAATTCTTTTGTGGAAGTATGCATATTGTGTTGTGTCAAATATGAGCAATAATATTCTTTACTCTTACTAAAGATGCTATAAAGAACATTGGCTAATTTGAAGTTTAAATAGTGCTGAAGACCAGCTAGGGGAAGCTACCAACTCTCACTCTAAAGTTCCCTTGATTCCCTCCCCCTCGGGGCTAACGTCTCGTATTAGAACCTAAAATAATAAACCAAGTTGAGGATTTAGGCCCTGTTTGGCACAGCTTATACATGTGCGGTGGCGTTTTCAGATCGCCGCCCACGCGTTTGTTTCGCGCGTTCGTTCGGCGGCGTTCTGAACGCAATGTCCTGCGGATCTCTTTTCTTCATTAGCCGGATCGTGGGGCCTCGGCTGCGTTTGGCGTTAGTTGGCTGTTGGCGTTAGGGCTCGAATTTCTTCTTTTGCCCTTGGTGATCTCTCTCGCGCTCTCCCCTCGCTTCCTCCCTCTCCGATCGAAAGCATCATTAGGGCTCAATTTCTCGTTCTTTTTCCCTCTCCGGTAAGATCTACTATTGTTTGTCATTGGTTTTTTTAGGATACGCTCTGGATCTGTCGAGATATGCTCTGGATTTGTGAGTTTTTTGGATCGATGAATTTTTTCGGTTCTTCTCCATATCTCTGCTTCTATTGCTTTGGATCTCCGAGTTTTGCAAAATGTCATGGTTCTATCGAGTGATTTTTTGGTAGTTAACACCATCTTTCTCACCTTTTTCTTAAGGTTTTTTTCTTGATTTGGCATCTGTATCACATAACTCCCATTTTTTCTTGCTTAAACCCTTATTACAAGTGCTATATCAGGTGTGCACACCATAATCGATAAAGGATGTATAGGTTATGGATGTATATGTTTATGTTGCATCTCTAATGCTTATTTTGGCTCACAGAACTCCCATTTACTAATGTTTATTTGCTTCAAAAAAGGTTGTATACGATTTTGTTGCATCTCTATTGAATGCTACAATTTGGATTTGGAAAAGGAGTATCTTTATTAAATGATACAATTCGGGACATTCTCTTCATCTCTACCCGAATTTGTTGGTTCAAATCGTATTGTATATTTGGGCTTTCTCGTTTGTAATGCATTACTGCGACGTT